TCATTGTCAGATATCACTGTGCAAACACTTGAGCTTGCATTTTCCACACAGAGTAAATGTTTGTAAAAGGAAAAGGACAAAAACTAATAGAAAAAATGCTACTGTCTTTACTAACACAATGATTTCTCCACATCTATGTAAAGTGCAGAGAAAACTTTTATTTTTCTCACTAGAATAGGAAATAAGCCTCATGAATAACACAGTACTTCTCAGGATTTCAACACAGCTACATATATATAGAAAACTGTCTGATAGGGTACAGTATATATACAATCTGATCAGGACACTGATAAATTGAATCAATATTTCTAATCTGAATAAATGGCATGCATGTTTTTTTTTTTCTCTGCAAATCTGGTTTTACAATCCTTTTTCAAACAGTCCAAGTCAGAAGCAGGAAAGGTATGGGATTTCTTGGCACCAGAAATAAAATATGGTGGTTGAAAGCCAAGGAAAGCTGTGCAAGACAGTGGGCTGGAAAATCAACAAGGGCTGGAAATGGAAAGTAAGATTAAAGGTAACGCTTAACCACAAGACTATCCTTAGCAGCTTTAGAATAGTATGCAGTTAAATAAACACACATGCAAAGCTAACTTTATAATGTGCCTTGCTCTCACTTTTAACAACAGATGATTGCTATTTACTCGAGGGTAGTGAACCACAGGAAGCTGGCCTTTTTTAGCCCTCTTGCCCTGAAAAAGAACTGTGTGAGGGCAGCTCAATATGAACTCTCTTCCTTCCCTTCCCAGCTCCCCACCCCCAAGCTGTGCCTTTTTCCTTGGCTGTATATCTGAGCATCTCCAGTTCAGACAAGTGAAGATCACTCCCAGCTATGGAGTGTTTTTTTGCTGGTGATCCTGAGTCCTTGTGTTTTATATGAGAGTCAGGGAGTGCAGTAATGCCAACCTGCCTGGCCTGGTGTGACAGAAATTCAAGAACCTTGACTGCCATGGGAACTTCTGCACCCTCAGCTACTTGGTACAAGAAAATGAATGATGAAGCCATTTCCAGCCTCAGGAAGTTTAGGATATTGTGAACACCAACAGCCAGTTTCTGACTGTGCAAGTGGTAGCTGCTTAATGAGATATATTACTATAGCACTGTGGAGTGGAATTGCTAATAGGTGATGACACTTGCCATAACTAAGTTTTATGGGAAGGGAAACATAAATCTTGCATTTAGACATCCTGTGCATATGGAAACATGAACAATGAGGTGCTGAGGTCAGTGATAGAGACCCAAGTATTTTTTTATCCCAAAGAGAATGACTTTGGAAATAATTTAAAACTGAAGAAAGTGAAAGATATAACTGAAAAATAGTTGTTTTGCTAAAAAAGCCATTCAACCATATACTTGATTTTTGGTTAAGGAAATGGGATCCAAACTGTATATTCAGCTGGCTTAAGCTATGCTGGTTCACTTTGTTTGTCCTGGTGATTTTTGGTTATGATATCCTGCTTTACAGGCAGGCTAGTGGTATAACTTGGTAGCAGCATTTAATTTTTAAATCTTGGTTGATGTTAATAAAAATTCTGTGCTTTTTCAGATGCCTGTAAATCAGCTTGGAACGTGGTTTCTTTTTAACCTCTGCAGCCAGATTTCTATTCTATGTCTAGTTCTGTATCATTCAATTAAGAGCTGAAAAATGAGCTATTATTTTAAGGGTGTATTTTCAATTTTGTTGGAGTGATGTGTATTTCCTAATCTGATCAAAATTATTTATACCTAACAATTATTCTTTAGAGGTAAAAGTTCGGTGTCCTAAGATGGAAGATTGCTTTAAGGAATTAGAACTTTTAGTCTGAAACAAGAAAACAGCAAGCAAGCAAGACAGCTCCAAGAACAAGCTTAGTGTCCTTCTCAGTGCTAAGTGAGCCATTCTAGTCAAAATGTTGGTATCCCTGATCTCCCTAATTAGATCAGAGTTTAAGGAAACTGTGCTTAAGGAAAGCCTATCAGACTGAACTTCTCAATGGATTTGTATGAATGCACACAATTCCTTAGTGAGGTGTGAGAGCTGGACCTTGGAAAGACAAAGTAAAGAACTAAACAACAAATCTGTGGTATCTTATGAGGTGCAACATTAATCTTCGGTGGTCTTCCTCTTCCTATCCCTTGAAAGACAACATAGGTTTTGCTTACATTTTGCCATCAAAACAGAAAATATTTGAAGCTATTATGGTTTTTCAAAGTGGAAAGACAATTCTCTCAGACAACTATAGTTGAGGTGAATGTTTTCAGAGGGGCTGAATTCGCTCTCTGTGTGTCACTGGCTGGGATTTCTCTTGCTGTAGATGGGAGCCTGAAATCCATGTCATGTGTCAGGAGGTGAAGCACTGCTCAGAGAGTGTGGGATGGTCCTGGGGCAGGTTTGTTCAGCTTGCAGAGTTCTGGGAGAGCAGACACTGAGCTGCAGCCCTCCCAAAGGCTGCCCTGTAGAGAGCAGCGTGCGTCGACCCATGTGAACAGATATACTCTGTATGGAGTGGGTTTGTCAGGGCCTGCAGCTGTGGCCAGGCTACTCACAGGACCCAATACTGCTAATTTAAAGAGAGCTTGATGGGCCTATATTGATTTCAATCACAGTAGTGACTTTCTTTCCATGAACAAACAACCTCTAGACTGATTGATTACATATATCTTCGATCAGTATACTGTGCTTCCTGCCTTTCCTTGCTGTTCTTGCTTTTTCTTGCTATTCATCTTTAATAATTTAAATACTGAGGGACATGTAAAAACCATATGTATTTGTGAGCTAAATAAGAAGCAAATTCCTAAATCTTGTATTTGGATTTTATACTAGTTAATGTAGAAATCATGTGGATGTGAGCAGTGATCCAGGTTTGAGCTTCTAAATCTTTCTGAAAACTTGAGGTTAAGGCTGGGAAACCTCCATAGCCTAAAGACCATCCATGGTCACATCCCCTATTTCAGTGTCCACAGGATTCAATCATCTTATTAAGTCTTTCATGTTTGATCACTGGATTTTATGTTATCAGAACTGAGAATTGTCTTCATAAAGGAATTCTGAGCAAGTTTGCAGCATCTACCCCACCTTGCTCTCTGCAGTAGTGAGGTGGGGGTAGATGTCACATTAATGACATAGTTTGATGGGAAAACACCAGGTCTGATTTTAACACCATTAACATCATCTCTAGAATTAACTTTATTGGCTCTTATCATCTGTTTCTCTCTTGAGCTTTAGCTGTTGGATTTTATTAGCTTCAAAATTTCATGGTTGTGCAAAGACACAAATTATTTCAATGGCTTTAATGGGAGGGTAGGTTTTCATCCTTAGTTTTATAGAGGATTAATTTATAATTTCTTTTAAAATGCTATTTAAAAAATGTGAACAGGTCTGATTATGCTGCTAAGAATTGTGCACACTGAACATATATATTGATGATTTGCATTATATATTATAATGCAAATACTATAAATTAGTATTTAATAAACTGGGAAATGATTGAGGATTCTCCAGAAGTATTCTTATGGAAAAATCTTACAACTAAAAGGCAATAAGCTCATTAAATCTCTTAAGGTCTAAGCAAAAGATTTGGGAAATGGGTTTTTTTTTGTTTGTTTGTTTGAGAAAAGGGATTGGAGGGAGTGGCATTTGGTCATCACTATGCTATTCCTTGAGTAATAAACAGTTTGAGGTCTGCATTATGGTCCCCTGAGTGCTCACATGAGCTGAGGTGGGGAATAGCTGAGAGGTGCAGCATGGCTAGTTCATCAGAGTGCTATGGAAATTTTGGGAAATAAGTGCTTTGAAATCCTACCTCAAGCAGTGAGCTCCTAATACTGAGAGAAGCTGTGCAAACCCAGGCTGTTGTCAGCTGTAGAACTGAGCAGTCACACCCACCTTTGCCTCCCAGGAGAGGAGGCATTGCAGGGTGGGCTCTGGCAGCTGCTGGACAGAGCAGGGCTGGAGAGCGAGCAGCTGCCACTGTTTGCAGGAGGGTGCTGCTTTTGGATGACAGTACCACCATCTCTTCAGTACTCTGCGTGTCCCCAGCCAGTCCTGGCAGAGGAATAACATTGCATTGACCCCGATCCAGCTCTGTGTGGGAGCTCTTTGGTGTTGCCATGGCTGGTGTTACGGAGTCTCAGTGGTTCACAGCATTCACAGGCCTCTGGGACTCTTGTGTTGCACTTTGTTCCCCCTTTTGTGTGGGCCATGCTTCTCAGCCCAGTTGCACTGTGCTGCCTCTGCTCATTTGAGACACAGAGCCCTGTGTGATACTTTGGTGCAGGGAAGGGAGTCTTGAATTTTTCAAGGCTTTTTAGCTCTGGCTGAGCACACAACAGGAGGGACTTAATACCAGCAAAGCCACTCCTTCCAGTGGTCCTAGTAACAATAAGGCAAGGTTGTGCAGGACCTGCTTGGGTCCTGAAAAACCAGATGAGGTCCAGCAGAGTTTGCCAGCCCTGTTCCTGTGCTGTGCTCCAGAGTTACCTGCTTCTCTTGGCGGTGGAAGTGCTTGTGCTGTGCAATACCTGAGCTGACAGATCTCTCTGAAGCTCAGCTGCCTCTACATTTAGCCACAGTACTTCGTAGCTGCAGCTGCATCGTGGCTGACTTACAGCGTGCTCCTGGGATCCTGTAACCTCCGTTCGGTCCTGATTTCATAATGTACCAGCACCAGAAGCTGAGCCACTTGAAAAAATTCCTGACTCCCTGCTCTGTGTGTTGGTTCCCACCCTCACCCCATGACTGCCTGTCACCTCAGTTTGCTGAGGGTAGCTGGTTGTGAGGATGAGTAACAAGCTGCATCTGTCGTTTGGCTTTATATCAGTTCTCTTTAAAATAAAAAAATTAAAAATCCTTCTCAGTTGGGGATTGAAAAAGGTGCAATTATGTCTGTGCTACTGCTTAAGAAAGTACACATGGAGCCTCATACTTAATTAAACAAATGCTATGATTATACCAAATGCTGAAACAGGCAAACAGTGTCTACATTTCCAAAGTATTGAAAAAAATTATATGTTTTTTTCAGCATTGCTAGAGAAACCCGTCAGCAAAAGACGAGACAGTGAAGCTGTACAGAAGGCCAAGATCCTTTATGCATCCTGCATGAATGAGAGTAAGTGGGTTGATTTGAAGAGGCCATAGATGCATTCCCTGCATTTATAAAGGCAGGCTTTTTATCTCTCTGCAGAGCTCTGTGAAGCTCTGTGCAGATGCATGGATTTTGCTGATATGGATTCAACTGAATGCAGAGGGTCTTTTACACATCTGAAGCTGGCTTTTGAGACCGAGATACACCCAGGCACAAGAAGTCAGTTTTAGAGAAACCTTTGCTTGTCAGAACTGTGGAGAGATATTTATCTGTGTGAAAGGATGTTAAACTGTGCTCCAGGGTTGTCGGGTTAGTGCCTGGGGTTAGTAAATCAATGGAACCCTCTGATGAAATTCTCATACTGATATTTTCAAGAGCCTGTTGCTCATTATGTTCTACATTTCTCTGAATCTGTTTAATCAAAACACTTCCCCAGGGCTGGGTATAGACAGCCCTGAACTCTTTAGCTTTGGTGTCTGCATGTCAAGCAAGTTAGCCACATTTGCAGAGTGCTTTTCCTCAGCTTGTAAATGCTGCTGTAAGGTAATGTACAGTAATTCTGCACACGTCACTATCTTAGGTAAATGCAGAGGTGAAAGAAGGCTTGGAAGTCCCCTTTTTCCTTCTGACTTTTTCAGGATTCATTTCCTGCACAGTTTTCTTCCAGCATGGCCCGTCTGAGTGCCAGCAAGTGAGACAGCCTGCTCTACAGCCTTGGTGGCCCAGATGCTGTCCCTCTAGCTTTGATTATAGGCAATAACCCCCCTCCCCAAACGGGATGTTTCTATGCTAGTTCCTGCAAGGTGTGTTTTTGTTTTTTTAAAATTTACCTAATTCCAATCTTTGCCTTTTTTGAAAGGCACTGACTTGCCTCTCTTATTCTTGATACAGACAAACAGGGTTTGACTTCTAGGCTGCTGTGCTCACAGGCAGAGCAGAGGCTTTGAGTTTCAGCTATTGTGATTGCCTTGCCTGGAAGTCAATCGATGCCAATAAATCTTTGTCTTGTGTGGCTGCAGCTGGACTTGAATTGTCTGGAATGTAATTGTTGTCACACTTTGACATTTCAGATAAAATTGAAAAAGCTGATGTGAAACCACTGTTAAGTATACTGAAGCATTCACCTTTCCGCTGGCCTGTGCTGGAATCCAATATTGGACCTGAAGGACTGTGGTCAGAAAGGAGGTTCAGCTTAGTCCAAGCCTTGGCAACTCTTCGTGGCCAATACAGCAGCTCTGTCTTTATCCGTTTGTACGTGGCTGCTGATGACAAAATCTCCAATCGCTACATCCTGAAGGTAAAGTATAGCATTTCTAATAGGGTACTTTGCATGGTCTTTTATGGTCTCTTTTTAAAAAATACATTTACATACCAAATGTTTACATTTGATTGCTGTTGTTATTATCTACTGGGTTACAGATGTATGTAGGTGCCAGTTTATGGGAGTGTAGAAACCACTAGCAACCACATGCTATTGAAAAATATTTCTGTACAGGTTTTCTTCTTTCAAATGGAAAAAAACCCATAAAAATGTCCCAGTAGACCAATAGCCAGGGTCTATGTGCATGAGAATAGGAAGTCAATATCTAATTCTGTGTGCTGCTTATGACTCATCAGTTGCATGAAGAATGCTTTTTTTGTCTGTGAGGATGAAAAATGGGACATAAGTAGCAGATATTTTGAACTTGACCTGTTTTTCTTGAGGTGGAAACATTTAATCTGGTGTTTATACAGCACCTCACAGCACAGATTTATCTCTTGTGCTTTTAAACATGAAATAAGAGAATTCACCTTTTTCCTGAAATGCTATTGCTTTTAGACCAAAACATTACCAATTTGTTAACAGTGCATGGCATTACACAACAGTTTAATGAGAAAAAGACTCAAGAAATGTTGTCTCCCTTTAGTCTGACAAAACTCCAGATATAATTGTATAACTGTGGCAAGACTGAGTGCCTGGGCCAAATGCATTGTTGTTTAAGAACTTCAGATGAGTAGCCAAAGCAGACCCACCCTCCATGACTACAAGAAAAATAATCCATGAAGGCAAGAGAGAAGGAAAAAATGAGAATGTTATGATGGCATTAATCACAGCAAAACAGGACCTATGATCCTTATTTTGCTAATGTCTTGTCTGTATGTAGGAATGTAGCCAAGAATACACTGTATTTAGGGACTGTGGTGGTACTGGAGTGGATGTCAGTTCTTCCATATGTCTTTTGACTGAGGTATTTAACTGGCATAAAGTCGAAGAGTAACTCTTCCCCATCTCTAGGACATTTTCCTGGATAATCAACAGCAGATCATCAGTTTGCTGTATTAAAGATGTCATTCTGCTATGATGCTGTTGAGATCCTGTCAATTTTCTTCAGCTGGAGACTCAAAAGAACTGAAGCAGTAGAATCAGGGAGATATTTATTTGGGTATCTCCTGTCATAATATTTGAGTTCAAGTCACCTGTCAGCAAATGGCTGGGCATCCTCACTGCTGGTCTCTTGGAAATGATTTATAACCAGCAGTACCTTCATTCACTATGCTTAGGGGTGCCTAGGAATTAAATATCTAACTGAAGCTCCACATGCTGTGAATAACATATTATTCTGTAGGGTATTCTGATGTTAATTTGATTTGGACCTTGATCTGCAGAATGCATCAGCTAGTGCTCTACTTTGTCCATGTTTTAACAAATTCCCTTGGGTGTAGATATACCACAGATTATTTCAATATACTTGTGAAAATGGGTTTATTGCAAAATTCTCTTTGCTCAGCATTGCAAAATCATCAATGGATCCTGAAAGAAGTGAAAACTCCAAATAAAACTTTGTTCAGCATTCAGCATTATATTTTTTTTTTCCTCATGAGTGCTGAAGCAGTTGGTTAACATTTTTTTGTTTATTTCTCATATTTGTGCTCTCTTGATTTAATGTGCTGTCAAATCTAATTCTTAAGACTCAAGGAATTTGAATGAGCATTTAATGTAACAGTCACATAATTGAAATTCCCCAAATGATCTGAAGTTAACTATTGCAAAGACACATGTACAAAAAACATAAGAGTATATTCTTTTTGCATCATTGTGCTGAGCAAAGGAAGTGATGATGTTTTTCAAAGAATGAGAGTTGCGCTGAGCATTACAATTACTCCTTTTTGAAGATGGTTTGTTTTATTTGTTTATGGGACTTATATGAATTCTATGAGTAAATACAATCTATTGTCATTAGACTTATTTTTAAAAGCAATTTAAAACCAAAAATGTTTAAAACATAAAGCAGTTGTTTCTTCTCTGATCAGTAGCTTATTCAAAGTTTGGAAGCTGTTTGATTGAAGTTTTCAGCTTTGGCTTCCATACCGTAACCTAACTTGATCACATTGAAAAATTCTGGGAAATCTCAGTTCCCAGTAATAATTATAAAATATATGCTACATAGTGAGTTTTTCCTCATTAAGAATTTGAAATAGTATGCAAATGTTCCTATGTAGATGTTTCACTTGATATACTTAAATGCATATCTCAAACATTCAGGCCTGATTACAATGTTAGGGTGAATGTAGACCAGAAAACCTGATCCACGTTTAGATTGAAAAGATAAGTGAAGGTCAAAGATCCATATGCCTTTAACTAAAGTACTGAGTACAGAGCAATATCCTGTGCATGCAATCCTGGCTGGTAGTCACTTCAGTTTCAATTCATCTTTCAAAAGACTGAGTATAGCACCCAGTGCTGTCTAGGGTGAAGCTCAAAAGTGTAACCTCAGTTTCAGTCAAAAAAACCTAGTGATGCTTCCCACACAGACAGACAGGCATGCTCCACACCTCAGGGACATTTGGTGCAAACACTGGACTGTTGTGGGCTCAAGATGACTTTTGTACCCCTGAAATAGGCATAGGATGGATGCATGGTCATCAGCACCAATGATTTGATCCTGTAGACACAGTCCTTTTGCATTTTCTACTCATTGTTGTAAGCTGTTTTTAACACCTAAATCACACCTGTGACCCTTTTCTCTAGGTGGCTTAGCTATTGCAGGGGTCATCTGAGGCTCCCCAGGTCACAGTAATGTGATTTAGTTAATACCTGTCAGCACAGCATAACATTTTCCTGTTGTTTTTGAAATCCTGTTGAACTCAGACTGGTGCAGCATTTTATAGTAGATATTTGCACACAACTACCATAATTGTCAGAAAAATATGAACCCTTCCAAAGTTGTGTATCAGTTTATCTTTGAATCTGATGAATTTAGCTGTTAATTGCTACTTTGTGTTGTTTTTAACAGCTTGATCAAGCAAGCCTCTCTCTGGCATCTCGAGAGGATTACCTAGAAAATACCACAGAAGCCAAATCTGTAAGTATTGTCAGCTGGAAAATAGAGCCATCATTTCCCTCCTCATCTTTTTTCATTGCTGGTTTTGCTTTGTTAAGCTCCAAACTGAGAAAGGGTTGTGTTTTTTTTGGATTTGACTTTTTCAGGGTATCTAGCAGAAAACACCACTTCTATCAAAACATTCTTGCAAAATCTCTTAAATGAAGCTTGCACTTGCATACAAGTACTTCTGTCCCATAGTAGTTACTGTCTTGGTTGGCCAAAAATACTGGTGTACATCTTTATACATTGTCTAATCTATTTGTAAGAGCTGAAAGTTGTCAGTCTAATGCAGAACTGTCATTTGCATTTCCTGAGATTTGTACTCCCTGAACCACAGCAGTTATCTCTTTCATGCATGGTAGTTTTACAGTGGTTTTTCTCCTTTTTAACTTGCTTGGCATTCAAGGTAAGGAAAGCACAACCTTGTTCCTAAAGCATGAAAGTTTTATACTCCTTCCTATAGCTGGGCATTTCAGGTCTACTGCTACAATTCTACTCAAGAGCAAATCCTGTTGTCATTTCAGTCTTTCTCTTTCTTTGCAGTACCGAGATGCCTTTTTGCAGTTCATGGTTGATACAGCAGTGCTTCTGGGTGCAAATGCCTCCCGAGCCGAATCTGATATGAAATCAGTTCTAAAATTGGAAGTTAAAATAGCAGAGGTTGGTAATTTAATATAATCCTTTCTCAAAGTGAAAAGCCATTATATCAACAGGATTAACAATAGGGATTTTAGAAGCAGAAGGAAAGGAGCAAATCCTGATGAAGAAAGGAAAAATTATATTTCTCTCTTAGTTAATTGTTAAATTGTAAATTTTATTCTCAGAGAAAAAACATTAGCCAAATGCCCCTGGTGTTTTAAATTGTAATGTCAGCCAGGCTGACCAGAGGCAAACCTGGGGGTGGCATGGCAATGTTTAAATGATGGTGTCCTTTGGTTTGCCATCTCAGTGGAGGTGGGGGATGGAGATCCATATGGCAACACAAATACAGGGGTTGTTGATGTGTTAGAAACTGTGGAAGTGCCTGAGGATTGTCCCATAGGAATTAGGACTTCTCCTGAAAAGGTGATGCGATCAATATCCCAGCTGAAGTTCATCTACACCAACTCACTGGTGCCCACTAGGCAGCTGGAAAAATATGATATAACTCAAGACCTTACATGTCTTTTCCACCCTAAGTGATTCTATAATTTTGAAGTCGTGTAGATTCTGAGCTCCTGCTGTGCATTTGTGTTGAGAATATATTATTCTGTTGTTTAAGAAGCAGGCTGGGCTGATTCTCTGTGGAACAGTCTAAAAGCAGTGCATGACTGAGGTGGGATATTGGATCTTGGTGATGAGAGATTGGTGTTTACAGCTGTACCAACCTCAGCTCCAAAAGTGTGTTCATGGAGTAGTCTGGGAGTGTGGATGGAAAACTCACGAGTTTCAATTTAGGGGATCAATTTAATTTAGTAAAGCTAAGAGTATTTAAATCTGGTACTTGATTCTGACATTTACTTGGTTACATTTTTGTTCCCTTGTGGAGTTTAATTTATGCCACAGGATTATTTCACATTGGAGGAGTGTTTTTCATTCTCTATATCTCTGTTTCAGTGTGGCTGCTACAGGAATCCCACTGCTTGTTAATGGTGTGTTTGTACAGAAATGAGGGCCATCCCCAATAGTAGCCAATCAGTGTTTCCATTTCTCTGCTGAAAGGAAAGAAATTTTGTCAAATGTCTAAGCCAAGCCCAATATTCTTTTTCAGTTACTTAACATGGATGGGCTAATGCACAAATACTTCCTTGTGACCCATCACACTTGAAAAACAGTAAATATTTCTTCTGTTTATCAGTGATGACATAAGATGATGTATCCTTAGCTCTGGTAGCTCTAATGCTTTGCTTAACAAGTGTCTTACAGAGCATTAATCCACAAAATATGTAAGTGAAGCTGCCATGTAAGATGACATGGATCATGTAACAACCCTCAGCATCAGTAGTGCACATCATTATGCAACAAGCCATGCTTGCTTACAGTTTCTTTTAGTAAGAATAATCCTCCTAATATCTGTCCTAATATTAGGCATGAGCCAATGGACTTGGTTGCATAAACCCTAATAAACATAATGATTATGTAAGCATCTTACTGTGATGTCACTGTTTGTCACTGGAGGTTCTACTGTGTCCTGTGTTCCTCTTCATTTTTTTCAAATAAACATATTTAATGGAGAATTCTATGCTCAGGAAGAGGCAGCAAGAATACTTTGGATATAGGAAGGAGTGGCATGTTTTGAGAGAGCTTGTTGTGTACAAGGAATTTTTTTATTAAGTTTGAATCATTGGAGCAAGAGGGAAAGTTTTGAGAGTAAGGGAGTAAATGGCTTCAAGAAGTGTTTAAAGATTTTTCAGATAAATGGAATTTGCAGAAAGGGAAAAGAAAGTAATTTTTTTTCCTCTATGGTTTGAGCAATATTAAAACCATAAGCAGTTACTGGAGAATTTTGGTTGGAGAAGTGCCAGCTGTCTGGTTTGTCTGGCATCAATCTCTGTCTTTTAGGCTGCCCAGCATACAGCCTGTTGTATAGGATTTGCCTTACAGCAGGGCTGGAATTGCCATCTGGAATTTTTGTTTCTCTTGAACACTGAGAAAATTTTGAGCTATACCTTGTACTTTGTTTTTCTATTATGAACCACAGGGCTTCTTGGAGACTGCATGTCCTTCTTGTCAGTTATAAAAGGACTTGCTTCATATTTAGGATTTCTTATGCTGTATCCTTGCTGCAGAGCAACTTGAGATTGGGTCCTCTGGTCACCCAGATGAGAGGCCTGGCTGGGGAATGCTTTATTCATATTATTTATGTCTGGCCTATATTCTCAGGCTTCCTGCTATGGAAATCAGGATGATGGGGTGAAATAAGGAGAAGCTTGTTCAGAGGAGAATCTGGCTGTTCCCCCAGGTGGAGTAAAGAACACATTCAAATCCAAGACATGAGATGCACTTCCAGTTATGAAGATGCACCTATCTCAGATTTGACCTATTAAATCTGAAGTTGGCTTCTACATGATAGGAAGGAATGAATGAGTATGAATAGTCAAGGTGTACTTTTATCTTTTATGTATCAACATGTCTTTCCTTAGCATAATCAGAGTTAAATCTATCTAATAAGTCCAAAGAAGACATGCAGCTCAATAAATTTCCCAGTAATGAGTTAAACATAAAAGGAACTATGTTCCATTTCTTCTATTTAAATGCAGTCCTCAGAAATGGAGGTTAATGCCATAGATGCTTGAAAAATCGGTGGTGAGTTATTTCTGCACTGGGATTATGAAGGATGGTAATGACATAAGAGTCCCTGCAAGATAAACCTTGTTTTGATGTTTTTTTGCATTTTTTTTCTCTTCACCAGATCATGATTCCATATGAAAATCGAACAAGTGAGGTGATGTACAATAAAATGAACATCTCAGAGCTTAGTGCCATGATTCCACAGGTTGGTTTGGTATAACTGAAAAATTATTCTTTAATATCTGACCTGTATAATTAAAACTGTCTTTAGTGTTCAGAGCAGCATGTTAAAGAAGTATCATTAGGAATGTGTGTGCTCATTCTTTTAAATACAATTCCAACTTTAATGAGGATTCAAAACATATGTAATGACAAAGTGCAATACTTTCTAAGTTTTTAATAAGTAAAGCATTGAAACCATTAGTTTTAAAGGTGTAACTTAGTTAATAAATCATCTCTCTTCATAATCTGCTTTAACCAGCCTTCTCTTTGTCATTGCAGTTTGACTGGCTGGGATACATCAAGAAGGTGATTGACAGCAAACTCTATCCTGAGCTTAAAGATATAGGTCCTTCAGAAAATGTGATTGTCCGTGTTCCCCAGTACTTCAAAGATCTATTCAGGATACTAGAAAATGAAAGGAAAAAGTAAGGATCCTATGATGGTTTCATCCAAACTCACAAGGGGACATCAAATGCTGGGCTTTTTCTATTTTTTTTTTCCCATGAGTTTCAGCTATTCTTGGAATCAAGTCTCTAGGCAAACAGTCTGTTTGGTTTTGTCTGAATGAGGATTTAGATATTACCTTGTGCACAGGAAGAGAATTTTTAGTTTCAGCACCTTTCTTCTATGGTTAACACAGGTTGCAGTAAAGCTGCTCTTTCCAGATGCATTCAGCATCTCTTACTTGTATAGGGTCTTGTATCTTGTGAAATCCCTTACACCTGTAGAACATAAATCTGTAAAATGCAGGTAGGTCAAATGAAACACAGCAGATGTGCTTTGCACAGGGAAGCAAGACAGCTTTGGGCAGTGATGAAGAACTGACATCCCATTTGAAATATCCTTACTGATAACATCTAAGGGCTTTCTGATAATTTGTTCTCTGAGGCATGTTACTGAAATTTAAAATAAATTTTGTTAGGATATTGTCTCCAAATATCAATCTCCACTGATTGTACAGTATGGCCACAGCCAAATGTATTTCAGGAAAAAAAAGACAAAAATTATTCTTATATTGTTGCTCTGTGTCTCTAGAGATGGAATGCTTACATTAATTCACAGTACCTGTAAAAATAGCACAGAAATCAAACAATTAGAAAAATAAAAATTCTTGATTTGCCTACAGATCATCAAATATCCCTGCTTTAAAAGGATTCAGATAAGTACCATTACTGCCACCAATATTAATCTATTGAAGAAAGTTTTTAAAATTATTTGGGCTGCCCCTGCTTTCTAACTTAAAGTTTGTTACATCAGTGGGTATAAATGTGTGACTTAGAGGGTTCATATCTAGCAAGATAACTGGGAATTAGTTATTCCCTGCATACAAATACACTTACATGCAAATATATTCTGTAACTACAGAGTAAATACCTGGAGACTTTTTCCATTAGTTTCTTATTCAAGGAAAATCTGAGTATTCAAGAGAACTTAAGCCAGCCTGTGTGTTATGGCAGAAGGAGGCTGGAGTAATGACCAGAAATAATTGCAATGCCTGTCTTTAGCAAACTCAAGACCAGGTTTTTGACCTCACAGGTCAGGGGGAGAGGGTGAGCAAAAAAAAATTCCAGTATATTCATACTGCATTTGTTATAGGTGTTAATGGCTTAGGCATTTTATGCCCAGTCCTGTCCTAAGAAATTTGCTTCATGAAGTGTTAGAATGGCAAATAGCGCTAAACTGAACCCAAGAAGGCTTCAAATTCTTGTATGTAAAATGTATCCAAACAGCTCAGGCATGATAACCAAAATCATATTTATCTATTAGGTGATAATGTTCATTACTTAAAATGTCAGAGTCTGCTCCAGATGTAACCTTGCTATCTGGCCTGAGAAAATTAGGGAATCATCTCAATGTGAACTCATAACAATGAGGTCTCAACATTTTAGGGTGAGCCCTGAAAGCTTAACAAGGATATTTTCTTTTAGGTAATCTCATTTGTCATTCTCCATATGACATTTAAAAAATTTATTTAATGTAAACAACATGAATTTGATTTGTTACTGTAAATATTTAGACCTGAAATTCCTAGAAAAGCATTTCAAAATTTTAGATTTGCTTCAGTGTTCGTAATGGGAATTACCCATTTATTCCAGTGCCTTCTGTGTCCTCTTCCCAAATGAGCACCCTGCTAGCCTGGGTACTATTTAAAATGTCACATAAAGATGGCTCATGCCCTTGTATTTTACCCAGTGATCTGGTAAAGTATTTCATGATGTTTGTTTCAGGTGGAGGAAAGAATGGAGTGAAAATTAAATCTGGCTACAGAAGCAGTTTGTGTTGGAGGTGACAAGTTGTACCAATTCACAATCCCTATATTAAAAATTTCTCCTTCAGAGAACCTTCTGAGCAATCTTGAATTGTGAAATCATTCACAGGGTAATATTACTAGAAGAGAGGACAGTGCCATGGTGCAGCATGAATTTAGCAGAATTTTACTTAACTGCATATAATCAAGTTACTGTGTGGAGCTTGAAACAGCTTGGTCCAGAGGTCAGTCTGAAGTCCTCAGGCCAGGGCACTGCTGGGACTCCAGCACAGGAGCTGGGCTCTAATAGTGACCTTCCCAAGAAGCTCAGCCGCCAGCCTGCAGGAGTTCCCATCAGCTTGGGGATAGCTAACCATAGGCATGTCAGGTGCTGAAGTAAGTCACGCCTTTGTAAGTGTCTTTAGGGATTTCTTCAGCTTTTTGGTGTATTAATTCATTTTTAATGGGGTTTATCTCTATTTCAGAAGGAAGAGATGTGTGTATGTAGCAGTGATGTAAATGAGCAATGGCAGAGCTCCAGTGTAGCTGTGCTATGGGAGGGGGGAGATAGAACTGTGCTGGCACTAATTGGGAGCTTAAATCCCTTCCCTGTGTGCTGGTGCTTTATGTGAGCCGTAAATAGGATACTATAAATTGCATCATTTCTGGAGATCTTTGCAGCTGTTCAAAGAAGCAGCTTTATCATTCTCACAGATCTCAGAATGCATAATTAGTTTCACAGTATCGTAGAGTGGTTTGGGTTGGAAGGGACCCTATAGATTGCCTTGATTTAACACCCCTGCCACAAGCAGGGACACCTTGCACTAGGCTGGGTTGCTCAGAGCCCCATTTTGATAACCCTCCCTCAAGGGCAAGGGCAGCCTGACCTTCAACACTTTCAGGGATGGGGCATCCACAGCTTCACTGGACAACCTATTCAGTGCCTCAGCTCCCTCAAAGTAAAGAATTTCCTCCTAATAGCTGATAAATCTATCCTTTTCCAGTCTAAAGCCAGCCCCCTTGTCTTATCTCTATATGTTCTTGCATGTAAAATGTACTTCTCCAGCTTTCTTCTAGGCCCCTTTTCCTTTGTTTTACCTTCCCATATCTCTGCAGTATGGGACTATTAATTGAAAAGAACTCTAATTCACATAGCTTATGAGGAATTTTCTTCAGAGATGGATGGAGGCACTAGATCTCTTTTCTGGCCTTAGTCTCCATCTGAAAAATTTGAGAAGTTACGATAATTTATCTTGAATTAGTGCCTTTAGCAATAGAGGCAAAAGTTTTTCAGTACTTATAATTTGATTTGTGACTCAATTCTGAATACAATTTTCAAACAGATTTAAAATTTGTGAAAAAGATCTTTTTCTTAAAATGTCAATTAATTTTTCCACCTATCTCATATTAAATCTGTCCTCTTTAATTACTACCATGTCTGTTGATTAAAATATTGCAAACTCACAGAATTTTACATGAGCAACCTACTTTATTCTGAGACAGGACAGAAAGTACTTTAGTAAATATTCATAAGTGCTGGTATAATTTTAACTGTCCTAGCAAACAATCTCTCTACCACTTCCTTTGGGAGTGTGTGTCACAATAAGGGTTGTACTGGTTAAAAGTGAGCCTACACTTTCTGCAGCAGGCATTTGGAAGTTAAAATAGAGCGTACTCTTCTGAAAGGTTAGAACAACAGTCTGATCTCATTGAAAGAGCAGACAGGATTTTTATGTTTTATTTGTGTACTGGATTTTGCTCCATGTGGAGAGATTAACTTCTCTGAGCCTCAGTGAATTTATTTGTGAAACTGGGATGAAAATTACCCCAAGATCTGCACTGTAGTAACTTTATTAGCAAAGTGTCAGTTTTTAAGCCAACTGAAGACAACCAAATTATTTGAAGTTTGCATAGTTAGCCCAAAATGTAAAATAATTATCCCCCCAATAGGTAAACAAATTCAGGTAAATTACTATTTTATTTTGTTTTGAAAAACAAGCTAAAGCACACTGTGCTTCAAAGATGTGACAACAAACCTCCTCAACCTTTCAACCTGTTGCCCACCTCCCCATTAAGGAGCACTCAAGCTGAACCTCCCTATTGTTTAATACATTGTGGATTCTATTATGGTTGCAATCTTTTGAGAGCCAGCCTGTGTGAATTTCAGTCTTTCATTCACTACCAGGTTGAGAGAGGTTTCCCAACTCAAATGTAAGGACAAACATCTCTGTGTGAAAACAAGTACACAGAAGAGAGTATTGATTTTGTTTTTGATGCTGATTAAGTACCAAATTGTAATATATAATTGGTGTGTGATAGTGATTTATTTAGCTAAGGATTTTACCTACAACTTTTGATTGAAAGCAAATCTTTAACCTTTTAATTTGTGAGATTTGTATAAATGCTACAGAAGTTGTTACAGCTGGATATTTTTCAGCTCTGCTGAAATACCTGATGCAGGTATTGTTGTGAGGTTTCTGGAGTTCATGTCATTTACCAAAACAATGAGAGCTGAGTGCTTTTAGGATGCTTCACTTGTCAATGAGTGAGAAAATTCCACATTGTCAGAAACTTGTTAAGAGAAAAATCTAAACTTTGTGGCATTTCTTAGGTTGAAATGAATTTTTAATGATCCTAAACATTATCTTAAAATGGTGTGATTATCTAAACAGAGCTAACTATTCTGGCTTTTGTGACATGTACTGTCTTATAAATGCACATTATTCATGCTAAAAAGTCTTTTTCAGATGTGTTTTACAATTATTGTGGGCATTTAGGTGCACTTTTCAGTATATCTGTGTACTAAAAGAGGGAATATACCCGGTGTGAGAGGTGCAACAACACATCTTGAGCTGAAGGCTTTGTGTGGGTGGGCTGGAGCTCAGTTAGAGGCAAAACTGAAGTTATGTCTCAAGCAACTGCTGCTGTCAAGACATGCCTACAAAGTGTATTTCCAAGGTGTTATGATTCAGAGGAGAGAACTGTTTGGGATGTGTCTCTAAGCTAATGGAGTGACACTGTAGCAACAGCTGCATTGCCCCACACTTACAGCAATGGAAGATTGCAGAAATGGGACTTTTAGAGGGGGGGAGATGTTCAGACAGTCCATAGCAGCACCCTCAGTTGTATAGAAGCCACTTTCCTATCTACAGAGAAGTCTATGGCCTAAGTAAAAAATGTTATGTATATCCCAGTGGGGAACAAATAACATTTGAATATCCTAGCTTTGAAGCAATGACTATCCTCGAAAAATGTGTCATGTATAAAAGAAGATGAGAATAAGTGTAGGCCATTGTTGGACTTGTTTTGAGACTGTTTGAATTGTGTATTTCAGAATGAACCTTTAGCTCATACAGCCTCTGCTGAACATGGAAAGAGATCAATCTAGGCTGGATAAATACTCCAGTCAGGTGCCCAGAATTTTAGAAAAGGGGCATAGATACCAGATCTCCTGGGAATTTTAAACAAGCTCTTTCTTGATCTCTCAGCCTCGATTCTCATAAGATTTTTATTACTGACACTTCTCTTTTTTTTGGTATTTCAATTATCTATCTGACAAAATAGGAATGGTAATACTTTAATAACTTTGTGAAGAATAGAATTTTTCAAAGCATATTGATAACTTCTAATGCAAGATACAAATATGAGATAATGAGAGTGTATATGGGATGGACTGTTATCTGTTCTGTTGCCATTTATGTGCCCTACTAATGAGGGGAGATAAAATTCACTTTGATCTACAAAAGAAAAAAACAGTTAATCTCTGGATAGAACTTTGATGTAACTATTATTATAACATAATTTTGCCACTTCTAAGGAAAATGAAAGCTGCCTTTTGGAAAAAAAATTACCTAGAAATGACATACTAGGTGATTGACCTGTTATAAATAATCCCTAGAAGATGGTTACTATAGGGAAATTATATATTAAATGGCTGCAATCATACAGATTCTCCTGTGTAATTGAGATTTATCAATTTGGCCATCATTCATTAATTTTTAAGGTGAAATTTCCACCTTATAATAGTTTGTAGAGCTATTTCTGTGAATGCTTTGTGGTACAGCATATGTGTTTACATGCCTGATAAAAATATGCCTGATTTAACAGGACTCTTGCCAATTACCTGGTATGGAGGATGGTTTATTCAAGGTTATTTAACCTCAGTAGACGTTTTCAGTATCGGTGGCTGGAGTTTTCTCGGGTAAGTTATACTTTCATAGCATTTGCAAGGGTCCTAGTGTTGACACTATTGGTTTCCTTTATAGTTGCTTATACCTTTGCAAAACACAAAATGCTTTCCATGCTGGATAAATTTCTTGAATAAACTTTTTTTTTTTAAGATGACCTCTTAAACAATTGATGCACATATTTTTGTGTATGACACTAAGACTTTTATATGATGCTAGAATGACACTAAGACAAAAAAGTCTTTTAGATGGTGTTAAAGAGGTTTTGAAACCTCTCCTTTAAAAAACGTAGTCTTGTTTTGAGGAATTAGACTATGTGGGCTGTGACATTCAGGCCAAACCTTTTGACCAAAATCTAAGCTTTTGCCCCAGTGTGAATACAGCTCCAGTAAACCAGAAGTCTAGGATTTCACCTTTTTAAAGCTTACTCAAAGCTCTCCCATGCTCTAATGCCAACATTACATGAGCTCTAGTACAAGGATACCCAGCCATTTCCACAGAGAAGATGATCAAATGCCTTCCAGCTTGGGATTGCAGAAGAACCAGAAAACTGCCACAAGCTGTGAGAGCAGAATTAACTATCTATTCAGTAATATGGGCGTTTATGTAAAACACATACATTTGATTAGGTGAACGCTGAATAGAAAGCCACCTTGGTAATCATGTGGGCAGTGTGAGGGCTCCTTGAGTATACCAAGGATGAAACTGAAACTGAATGGTACTTTGTCTTGTGTCTAAGCCACTTTGGATGGTGAACTTGGCTTGCCATTATGAAAATTGGCTGACAACAGGAGGCTAGAATGGTGCAGGAGGTGTGGGTGTTTTGTCCTCCCTGGTGAGGCATGCAGGTCACTAATTAAAGAACCTATACTCTTTTTCCTTGAGTAATACTGGTATAGTTCTGAGTTGATCACATACCTAAAAATAAACTCTGATAGCATGATGAAACTACACAGGAAAGGCAGCCTCTTGTACTTCTGAGATCATATTCAAAATAGTCATGTTAAAGATGCTATTTTCTTCATGTAAAATATGTGAAACTGGCTGTCAGAAGCACAGTGACAAGTTTGTAAGTGTCCCCTCCTGGGACATTCCTTGCTAGTCAGGTAAAATACATCGATGGCTATCAGCCAGTCTGTAGAATAATACTGAGTTACATTGGGTTCTATAATGGCCAGAAAAAATCTTCAAAGGAAACATTAAGCTTTGGATACTGTGCATTTTAATATGGTAACTGGCTACTGTCACATCTCTGGAATGTAGAAGCTTGAGGAGAAATAGAATTCAAAGTGATTCAGTGCTTATTAATAATCTCATCAAGGACGTCATAGAATTCCAGAATGGGTCAGATTTGAAGGGACCACAATGGGGTCATCTGGTCCAATCTCCCTGCTCAAGGAGGGTCATCCCAGAGCACATGGCACAGGATTGTGTCCAGATGGTTTTTGAACATCCCCAGTGAAGGAGACTCCATGCCCTCTGTGGGCAATCTGTGCCAGTGCTCGTTCACTGCATAGGGAAGAAATTCTTTATGTTCAGGTGGAATTTCCTGTGCATCAGGTTCTGCCTCTGGTTCTATTGCTCAACATCACAGAAAAGAGCCTCCAAAGGGCTCCAACCTCTTGGCACCTCCCCTTCAGATACTTTTAAACAGTGATGGGTTTCCCTCTCAGTTATCTCTTCTCAAGGCTGAACAGGTCCAGCTCACTCAGACTTTCCTCATAAGAGAGATGTTCCAGTCCCTTCATCCTTGTTTCCCTTCACTGGATCTGCTCCAGGAGCTCCATGTCTGTCCTGTCCTGAGGAGCCCAGAGCTGGGCACAGCACTCCAGACACGCCTCACTGGGGCTCAGTGGAGGGGCAGGATCAGCTCCCTGACCTGCTGGCAGAGCTGTCCCTAATGCACCCCAGGATCCCCCTGGCCCTCCTGGCCCCCAGGGCACCGCTGGCTCATGGACAGCTCATTGTCCACCAGGACCCCCAGGCCCTTCTCTGCAGAGCTGCTCCAGCAGGTCGGCCCCAGCCCGTGCTGGTGCCTGGGGTTGTCCTTCCCCAGGGCAGGAGCCTGCATTTGCCTTTTCTGAATTTCAGACCATTCCTCTCCCATCTCTCCAGCCTGTCCAGGCCCCTCTGAAGGGCTGCCCAGCTCTCGGGGGGATCGGCCTCTCCTCCCAGCTCTGTGCCATCAGTGAACTCGCTGAGGAGGCCTCTGCCCCCCCGCCAAGTCACTGATGAGTAAGTTAAACAATATTGGCCATGTAAATGGCTGTGAAAGCTTAAAGCACAGTAAAAGCAGTGAATCAGCAACTCATTCCTGTTATCTGCCCCTGGGACCTGGAGAATGGAGAGTTAGGTGAGTGAAGTAAACAGCAGTAGCTAATAGTTAACAGGTGAAGTTAATTGGACTAAACAGCTCAGTGGAACTGACTTCACAGGTCAATAGAAAGGACATGAGGAATGAAGTCCAAGGTGTTGGACTCATCTATTGTTGAATAGTTTGTCTAGTCAGAGGATGGAAAACTAGAGGCACTTTAGAATCATAGAAAGGACACACCAACCCCTTGCCAGGTAAGGGAATAAAACATTGAATTGCTACTAAAAAGATATGACCATGAGATAGATCAGTGACCGTTAAAGGAAAAGGTGTATTTTATGCACTCATTGCTTCATTAATTCAGTCAGCATCAACCATCACAAGCAAACTATTTTTTTTCACCAGGTTCTCATTTTCTATTGGTGCCTTTTATACCTTGTATGTAGAAATCTTGGCACTAGGGCTTTAAGATTTTTGCAAGGAGAAGGAAAATGATGAGACTTTAAAAAAACTTCAGGTTTAGAAATGGGGAAAACCTGCTGACTCTAGAGAAAGTGCTTTGAGTACCACACCAGCAACTCTCAGCAACTCCTCTGCAGTGGCACTTTGAAACCTTGTAAATGTGCAGTGGCACCTGGGGAAGAGGTTGGTTAATTGTGTCGTGAAGCTCTGAATTGACTGGGAGGGCTTGAAACCTGCTATTTATAGCCACTGTTACTACCTGAAGTACTGTGTTTTAGAGTGGTACATTAATATTAGGAGGACCATTTGAGGGAGTTCCTGTTGGCTGTTGTAACATAAATATCAATAAAACAGCTGTGATATAATCTCTTCCTCTCAGCTCTATTTTTATTGGTCTCGCGGTCTGTGCTGCCTTTATATCCTCCTTACAGTCAAGCCTCCCTCAAAGTAATGATAATTATTATGTTGTAATAATAGTATGTCACAGTCTAAAAGCCAGCTCTGTCTCCTGATATTTCTATGGCTGATGCTTACTCACAGCTTTTGGAAGGAATTTCAAGCTCTGATGACTAATGCCATAATTTCCCTCCTTCCCCATGCATCAGGAAAAAGCTCCATTGTGGGTTTACTCTGACCCCAGAGAGAATTTTTCTTCTCTTTTGTTCTTATCTTTTTATGAGTGTTTTGTTGTGTTATGTATAAAGGTTGAAGAATTTAGAAAAGGAGTTGATTGTCAAATTTGGATCTGTTTAGAAAAAATATCACCTTATTATGTATTGGTTTGACTAATAGGGTTTTCTTTTAGAAGCAGAGTACTCTCTGCCATAGAAAATCTATTACTGCATATACAGTATTAATAAAAAGCGTTTGGAAATGCAATTCACTGGTGTATTTAAGTGTGAGTCATTGATTATCCTTAATTAGAGACAATATGATAGGGAAAATCAATCTTTGAACTACCAAAATATCTCACCTTCAATAGCTGAGGGTTAAGCTGCTCTGGAATTTTCCAATGAAATATTTTCCTGTTGGAAAGAGACAAATCCAAACCCTTCAGTTTTGCTGAACATGTAATCTTGTGCTAAAAGGAGGAGAATAATGGTAAAAAGAAAGGGCTCAGAAACTGCAAAATTGGTGCTTAAGAGGCTTTTATAATCTGTGAGAGGCCAGAATCCCTATCCCACCTGCTCTGGTTTGAGGCTGACTGTACTCTGCCTTTACACAGCTGTCAGGTGTTAACTGCTGGACTGGGATTATGCTTGTTCTCTGTGGAAAAGCTTAAAAAGTTCCTTAAGTGGAAAGAGAAAACTTTGTACCTTGAAAATAACAAAAGTTTCTTAAATCAGCACTGCTTATTGCTCACATGGACCCATCTTCTATCTTGTTGTGTGCAGGATTTATTTACACAAACTACATCTTGATGAGCAATGTAATGTTAGCTAGGTAAGCACCCACAGTAATAACATTCCTCCTGTGTGAAAAGGAAACCAAGGTAGCAAATGCTCTTGAGTTGTGTTTTGCCTTGATCCTTGCTGTGCTGACCATTCTTGACTGTTTCTTTTGAAGCTTATTTATGGTGACAGCATCAGAGCCTGAAAGTATGTATTTAATACCATTCCTTTAGTAAAATGCAAGTTGTTCTACCAACATCTTTCTACTGCAACACAGAGTGATTTTTTTTTTATTTATTTTTTGGGGTAGAAACAAACATATTCAGTGTTCTTGATGATATAAACCTCTTTTCTCCTGAAAATTATTTGTTTGGGAAAGGAACTGAAAGCAACTATTTTACACAAGCTGCTGTAAAAGTAGTTGGACAGGTAAATGACAAAAAGGTGTGGACATGTACCCATCTGTGTTAGATGTCATTAGTTCATGGCAATGGAGGACTCTGAGGGACGTGTTTCATAGAACTAACCCAGTTTTCATGAGGGCAGTCTACCTAGGCTTCTTATCCTGTCAGAGGAGAGGCAAACATATTCAGGTGATATCTCACAGCAGGGTTTTTCTAGAGGAAATTGTCTCTCTACTTAACACAGAAAGAATACCAAGATTAGTCCAAAGTTAGCACTGATTCTCTAAGTCTTGTTTCTCTAAATTACTGCTACCATTGCACTGTTAAGTTTAAAATCTTGCAGGTATTTTGTGGTGTTCAAAATATTTTTCATAGCATTGGATGAAAATAGAAATAACTGCAGAGTATCATTATTTCCTTTTGGTGGCTTTTTGACAAACGTGCTTTGTCCTATACTACATGAGGATTCTTCTTAAACAGTATAATGTTATGGCTTAATATATGCCCCTGTCAACAGGTGATCCATGGGACTACAACTTTGCTGCCTCAGTGGGATAAATGCGTGGACCTTGTAGAAAATGCCCTCCCCTATGTTGTGGGTCAAATGTTTGTGAAAGCCCATTTTCAAGAAGACAAGAAAAAGATGGTGAGTCCTCTGCAGTCTCTGTCTGGAAATTTTCAGTTAGTGGTTTCATCCTCACAAATTGCCTCTGATGTTAAAACAAAGTTTAAAAAGACATAAGATTCTTAAAAATGTTTTAATTGAATTAAAAAACCCCAAAACATGAGGAGAAAATTGAATTAATTTGAAGAAATGTTACCTTTCAACACATCTGGGCACTGCCCCTCCTTTCCATCTGCAGTTCTTCAGACAAATAAGCAGACAGTTCAAAAGCAGGTTGAATGCTGTTAATTTATGTAAATAGTGACAGCCAGGCTGTGCAGGAACAGAGTGAGGGGTGTTGAGGAGAAGTGATTTAGTATAGCTAATATAATTTATTAAAGTTTTTACTGACTAATCAAAAAACTGGTTGAGATTTCTCTGCTTTAGGACTACCCTTTGAAAGCTGTGACTGCTACAACTGAGCAAAAAATATGTGAGAGATATCTGGCTCAAATCAAGGAAAGCTGAGAGCCACAGAGTGGGAGTTTATATTTGTGTTTCAAATCTTTTCTGCTGAACAGTGGAAGGAAATTTCCTTCCATACATTTGAGCAGAGAGAGACGTTCATCCTCATTCTAAAATTTCAACAATAGCTATGTTATCACTTCTCTCAATAACATATTCAAATAATTAATTACCCTTCACAATAATTTATGACTTATTTTCAGTTCATATTTTTCTTATAAGGTTTTCCAATATCTGCTTTTACGGCCATTGATTTTCCAGCAGTAATCACTTTTAAATTGACTCATTTAGTCATTGAACTTAGCTCTCCATGCAGGAGAGGCACAACCATTTAGGAAACATGAGATGGCACCCTGTGCTGGGAGCTTTTTGAAAGCCCTGCGCTGCCCTGGCTCAGAAGTCTTAGTTTGCCTGTTTGGCTTTATCTACTTGGATCCCTTTCTCAGGGGAGGATTCATCTTTTTCCACACACTCATTTGACCTGTCCAAATCTTTGTCATCTGTTTCCCTCTCAGGTTCTGCATTTCTTTCCATACTTGCCTTCATCTGGGGTTTCCTCTCTGAGATCCAGCTTTTCAATCCCCTTTTTCTTGATCCAGTTTGTAATGTGCTATTTGGCCATTTTGTGGCAAAAATATGCTAGGCATATGCAGTGTGTTATCCTGCATGGATAAGTGGGAAGAGTAGGAATATAAGAAATGTACACTTTATGGAAGGAATGGACACTTTTTCATATTTTCATATGTGAGGAAAAATTATGAGAAACAGAGCAGACATTGGTTTCTCTTGAAATGCCAGTTAATTAGAATGTTTCTTAGTGTGCACATTCCTTTTAGACCAAAGCTTTGGAAAATTATCAAGTCTGAATTCACAGTGGCACCCATAGTGAGAAATGCATATAAAATTCATAGTGTAGGTCACAATATTTAGTCTTAAAATGAACAACCCATGGAGATAAAATTGCATACAGGTGAAATTCATTGCATTGAATTTAGAAGTGTGCTTTTCAAGTTAATAATTTGTGGCTTTATCATTTTCATTTCACTGGTTTTCAGTTCTATTTCTCTTTCTTAAACAGTAAGAAAACATGTGAGTGAAGCACTCTTATTTGTACAGCTGGTTTTTTTTTTTCTTGCTTACGGCATATATCTGTCTATGATAAGCAAATCCTGAGTTACGGATAATATAGATTCTTTCCCCCCCCATGTTTTCTGATTGATGTTTCATACCTTAGATACTTCTCTTCTTTTATCAAGAAAGACATTATTTGTGTCTAAATATAGCACTGCTTCTAACTCAGAGTGCCTGCAGTGTTTTTTACAGATACGCCTGAGCGGTTTCAGTAATAACTTTGATAGCAGGAATAGGTTTCTGCCCCTGCTCCCTGCAGCTACAGCTGCTGCATAAAGCCTAAGTATACACCAGGGCCCAGCTGCAGAGCTTGGGTTTGAACTTGTAACCTCCAAATACAGGGAGTTCACCTCATTAGTGAAAAAAGTTAATTGAGTCAGTGCTCTGTCATCAATACTTTTAGGTTACCTTACTTCCTGTGAGGCAGTTTACTGTGAATATTCACTCTTTAGTCATATTTAATGCTAGACCTTCTCTGGTTGAGCCATATTGACTCTAAAAAGAAGAAAATGTTTTTTGAAAAGGGTAGGAAAAAATGAATAATCCAAGGAATTTTGCTACATATTTTTCTGACGGCACCACAAATAAAGGACAGTTCCAGATTAAAATATTAATCTGATACATTAATGACAATTTAGCTAAAAGTAATGTTTCCTTTGAGGGTTTAGTCCCTGCTTTTAGTGACATTTCAGATCTACTAGATTTATGGAATAAGGTTATACAAATCTCTGCTGCTTGACATTTTCATTATTTTTAAATGTAACATAACTGATAGCGCAAAGTTCCAGTAAGTCTTCATCTAATGGGTATCTGTCATGTCTTGAGCTGTCTCAGCCCTGGTTTGTGCTAAAGGATTCAGGCAGTGGCTGGATCCCTCTCATTGCCTCTCTCACAGCGTTCCCCATGCCTATCTGTCACGGGGTTCATCTGCTGATGTAAATAGAAGCAGCAGATTGCATACACTTTTCTGGACTGCCAGACGGATCCATAGGAATGAGGGCTCTTTAGACTAATATAATTCTAATATTATAATTATTATAATTATATATTCTAATACATTTGTTAGCTATTATAGTTCTTGTTTTCTGTCATTTCAAGGTTTTCTTAGTGTGCATACTCACTGAACAGTCCTATTACTATTTTTTACTTGCTTAAGATGTGGTCTTGGCATTGCAGAGGTGTCTGAAGAAGCAGCTGCGATTAAGTGGTTGTGGGCTTTCTCAGTTTTGCACGGATTCAAGCTGTCACTGGTGGTCCAGGACCACAGAAGCAGTTAAGGCTGCTCAGTGGTGTAAGCCACTCCCTCCCTGCAGTAAGTAAAGGGTAGCAATGCTTCACAAATGCAGCTAAATACAAAATAAATATTTGGTTACTGCTTTGTATTTGGATCATGATCCTGTCAGCCCCAATTCAGTTCTTTGCCAGTATTAATAAGGTGTGTCTCAGTCTCACATAAACCAAACCAGGCTAAAGACATTCTCTCTGCAGGAAAGGCTTTATTTGTGCAAATGCCTTTCAGCTGGCTCCTTCTGCATGGGCCAGTAATCTAGAACCTAAGGGCCATAAATCTCCCCAAAGGACTGCAAATCTCTCAGTGTTTTAGATGATTTCAAGATGGGTATTCTCACAAATATGACATGAAATGATCAGCATTGAACAGGGTGTGTGATACCAGAAGGGAAAGAAGATGGAAAAAACTTACCTTCAGAAGAAGTGTCTTAGTACTGGAGAGAGGAGAAATTAACCTTCAAGAAAGGACAGCCAATACTATCTGATCTGCAATCATTTGTGGTCTAACAAAGCCTAGCACTCCTACTTGTACCAAACATTTCCTTACAAAGATTCTGCCATGATATATTTTACTGGGGAAGGATTTTCTAAATATTTTTCAGATGGAGGAATTGACTGAAGGAATTCGCTGGGCTTTTATTGACTTGTTAGAAAAGGAAAATGACTGGATGGACTCTGAAACAAAAAGAAAAGCTCATGAGAAGGTAACAAATATAAATGTTGAATAAGTAAAATCCTGTTATGATAAAGATTTGACTTGAATGATAGCAGTATGTCATGGACTGTACTTGCAGTTCCAGTTACTGATCATTTTGTTTGCGAAGGGACATATTTGTTTTTCTGGATGCTGAGCCATCTGAGCTCCTGTTTCTCTGCAGAATTTATTTTTGTTACCTTGTTCTTCTTTCCTTATGTCCACCTTTCTCTGTCTGACTCTGGCTGATGTAGACTATGAGGTAATTTCACATTTGGGTTTTCTTGAAAAGTCTTCACTTTGGGATCCCAGGGACACACCAATCTATAGACAGAAAACAGTGTCTGAAACACCTGTGACAGTTGAGGGTATTTGCTTTGAAGATGGAGGACTGAGCCTAGAAGGGGATGTGAGAAAAATTCAGATTCCATAGTTTTTCCAGTGTTGTGGTAGGAGGCCTAACTTGAGAGCTTTTGAGAGTGTCATGGCCATCCCAGCTGAATATCAATTTCCTGACCGAATGATGCCAGTTATGAAGTGTTATAATCAAGGATGGCATTACTGGCCCTGATTGCTTTCAGATAAAGTCACAAAAAAATGCAGGAGGCAAAGGTGAATGCAGGAGGATGTACTCAAAACATCCTTTTCACTCTATTCCCATATTTACAGCATGTGATGAGTGGAGAGGAAGATTATCCAGATGCAGAGCTCTGCCCCCAGAGCAGAAATTGGAGGGGGCATATAAAAAGACAAGTGGAGGGTGTTGTGTAGGTCTGTGTCCTTATTTGTTGAGGCAATGGGATATCAGTGAATTACTAAGCACCCTCTTTGAATAAACTGACAGGCAAGTGCAGTTGAACTGTTCCTGCTCTCTGTGCTTGAATAAAAATAGCAGTGTTTTGATTTAAAAGCAAACACGGCTTTCAAAGTTTTTTAGTCATTCTAATGAAAAGGCTGTTGAGCCATTATATCATTGGAATGATTTAAATTCCATGTGCAGTCCATTTGCATTTTATACAGCAATCCTCTTCATATATGTGCAAATGAAATAGAGCTTTGTAAATGCACCAATAAACTCTATAGCAAGAGAACAATTGTAAAATGACATTTATTTCCTGCTAACCTGGTGGTAAATGGGCTGCAGTTATTACTTCTTACTGGCTGTTATGCTATTTTTTTTCCCTAGAAATACCATTAGAAGTAGAATGATCTGTAATTTAGATATTTGTTAAAATTGATGCTAAATATGAGCAGGAATATTTTCTAATGATTTCCTTAATAAAGATATTTCTATATAGTAACCTGCTTAGTGATTTTTTTTTTTCAAAATTTGCTACCTGCCTTTCAGCAGGGAAACAATACAAACATTACCAAAACTCAATGAACTCCAAAGAAAAGCTCTCCCCATTTTAAGGAGGGTTTTCATCAGAAGGTGTAGGCTAGATCATTGGTAGGTAGAGATGGCTGTTTTTCTCTGTTGACACATTTGGAAGCACATGGCACTTTGCTCCCAATTTAGACACATCAATGAAGGTTCAGAAGTTAGTGGAGTGAGACTGGGCTGAACAATGCATGACAAACTAAATTCCCTAAGTACAACAAAAATAATACTACAAGCCATAATCTATCAAACAAATAGCCAATGGTTTAAAATCATTCTGACTGAGCTGAAAAACCATTTCAGAGTTTGCTGACATAGGAAGCAGGACAAACTTGTAAGACACGAGTGTTATGTAATGCCTTAGATACTGCAGCAACAATTATGTGATACGACTTACGTCTACAAGTTTAAGTTCAGATTCACAGAAATAGCTACTTGGCTGGAAGGAAAGAGCCTAGAGAGACATTTGGTAGCTTTCCAGACATGGAGTGTGTGCATGTTTATTAAATATTATTTATTGTTAATGATAGATCTTCTATTTGTCCTGGAACACTTGGATGAGCATGTTTTTAATTCAAGAAATAGATTCATTACATTTAGGGTCAGATAATTCACTGGGGAAATCTAAGTTTTATAATACAACAGAACCTTCAAAATCTGTTACACTGTTCTAATTAAATCTCATGAGTCTAGCACTTTCTGCTGTAACTTTTTCAATACTTAGGCTTTAATAAAGCAGCAAAGACAAGCATGAGTTTTATGAGGAAGATTGGTTGGTTAAAAAAAACTCCAGTATTATTTTATTGTAGAGATCTGTAAAAGTTGCACTTCTTTGTCAATAAATCTCATCCACATGCTGGGCTCTGCACCCAGGATGGAGAAACACCAGGCAGCAAGTATTAATTGGAAGAGGGAGAGTGCAGGGCAACAGCTAGGAACTTGGGGGCTATCTGGTTTGGAGAAAAGAAGGCTGAGGGGCCACCTCTACATCTTCCTGAAGTGGAGAGGGTGGTGCTGATCTCATTTTCCTAGGGTCCAGTGCCAGCATGTGTGGGAGCAGTTCAAAGCTACTTCATCAGGAGAGGCTGGACTGGACAGTAAGATGCTTTTCTTCACCAAGTGGATGGTCAAACACTGGAACAGGCTCCCTGGAGAGGTGGTTGATGGCCCAAGCCTGTGTTTAAGAGGCATTTGGACAATGCCCTTAACAACGTGCTTTAACTTTTGGTCACCCTGAGGTGTTCTCGCCATTGGACAAGATGTTCTTCCTTCCAACTAAAACGTTCTAATTCTGTTTTATCAATTAAGTAAAGAAAGGAAGCTATTAGTTACATAAAGGATGGTTTAGTCTTTTATGTTTTCATAAACAGAAATCAGTAACTGTCACATTGTCCCTTGTAGTTGTGCAGATTGGAGCTTCTGCCCTAAGTAAGTTCCATGGCAGAGCTATATCCTACATGGAAATGACTGATTCAGATATTTTGCTCATCCTCTGTATTTTTAATCTCATTACATTCTTGAAATGTTCGGATGCTCTGAAAAGAAATTAACTGCAGAAACCTGATGGTGGTTTTATTTACTGTGCCTCCATGTGATCTGTTTAATTTGCCTTTAGTTTTTCTTTAATTCCAGGCATATTTGGGTCATTAAATTTTTTTTTACTCATTTCCTGAAAGAAGAAGAGGGTCAATGTGGGATCTGGGGGTCTGGACAATGAGCACAGAGAGCCTTGTGGTGGTTGTATCTTTAGATGACAACACTGAAATGTAAAGGACATGGCAGGTTTGAAATAGAATTAATTGCAAATCCTCTCTGTTATTCAGATACTCACTGCTTTGTGTGTTTTTTGCTTCCTGTTTTCTGACTGATGCCCACCTTTCTTTTGTGCTTGGCTGAGGCCAAATTTGTATACCTTGCAGTCAGCCTGATGCTTTGCAATCAAAGGAACCATCGACCTCCAAAGGACTTAAAAAAGACCTTCTGGTAGAAACTATTCTTGAATTTTGCTTTAGGCAGCTTTTCAGCTCTATCTAATCACCTTCTGTCACTCTTTGTGTCTGTCCTGTTGTTTTATGTTACTCAGAGGGGACACTACTAATTTGATGTTAAAAGGATCAAATCTACTACTCCATGTGACACAGGGAACAATTGTCTTGCAGCCTTGAGAATAATTTCTTTAGCCCTTGTATAGTTTGGAGTTAAGGTTTGACATTCCTTTTGTAACAAAACAATATAATGAGATAACATCTAATAATTTACCTCTCTCCTCCCTCCATTCGTTTCTTTCTGTGGTCAAAAGATGAATTTAAACCAGACATCTAAAAGCTTATTTTACAGAAAAGGTTTCTAACAGGGTTAGGTGACTGCCTTCACGTGCAGTTCTCACCTGCCTCTCTGGATGGAGCTCACGCTGCTTCCAAAGGAGCTGAGTCCGAGAGAAGTGCTGGGCTCTGCCGTGATGCTGTTTTCTCTCCTGTCCTTACTCCTCTGCTCTACTCAAGCCCTTCTTTATTGTACCATATTTGACTACCATTTCAAATTTGCTTCAAGTATGTCTTGTCAACCCCCCGAAATTTCAATGGAATGCTCTGATAAACAAACAAACAAACCAGCACCCCAAACAGGTTTCTGTTCTTGCCCTTTTAGTCTCTTTTGTAAGGGTCATTACATTTTGCCCTCATTTGCAGAACAGAAATGTTTCAATTGGGTGCAGCTCCAAGGGTGTGCCTGGCAAGAGTCTTCAAATGCACGTTCTGTGAGTTACCTATGGCCATGTCACAACCTCTGAGCAGGATGGCAGGGGAGGGGGGAGAGAAGGGAGACCCTTTTGTTTCCCTTACCGTGAAGGTGCAGAATGCAGCCAGCTGTGATGGCTAAATGGTATTGACAGCTGTGTTTTGGCATGATGGGCCACAGGGGAAAGGGGAAACCCACAACTGAAACTCCATTGACTTAACTTGTGTGGTGAGGGCTCACTTCTTTAAAATGGTAATTTATTGCTTCTGCTCTTCAAAGGATAATTCAATGGAAGATCATCACCGACATGTTAAGTTATTCCCACTCCTGGGCAGGAAACATTATTTTATTATTTTTCCTTCCTAAAATGCCCTTTGTTCTTGGGTTTAACTGGAGGCTTGAAAAAAGATGTTTTTCTTAAATTCTGCAATTCTCTTGTAAAATATCTTGTTAGGCTATTGCACAGGAATAACTTCCTATTTGGAAGTTAGGTGGTTTTTTTTTTTTGCTTTGCAGTACTATTTTTAAAGCATGGATGATAAGCCAAAAAAGAGCTTGTTTTTCCTCTAGTAAGATTTTTCTGTAACATTATTAACCTCCTTAAGTCATGGAGCACAAATCCCAAGGTCACTGTGCAATCATTTGGCTCCTGAACTTGCCTGCTGCTTTGCTTTATTTCTAAGGAAGTTGTATATGCAACATTTTTTTTCTCCACATCTATGAGTCTGAAGACTGAGTCAAGAGGAGCACAGGAAAATATCAGGACCATACCTAGCTACAGGTGGCTCTCTCAGGCAGCGTTAGGTACCTTTGTTTAGCCTACAGGGCTTGTTCTGCTGCTTCAGAGAACTACAGAAACCCTCCCTAGACAACACAGTGTAATTTGGGCCAAT